AGTGGGCCCGGCCGTGACGCGCCGAGCAGGCTGCGAACTTGGGCCGCGGCCGCGGGTGGCCGAGCGGCCGGGCAGGGCGCGCCCGCCTGTTTCACTTGCTTTTGTTTTTAAAAGGAAATGCGGGTCTGGTGGGGGGCTTCTTGCAGAGGGCGCCCCACGGGCTGATTTCGCGGCCGGGTTGGGGGGGACGCAGCGGGGGGTATCGGAGGGGCCCCGGCGCGCCCGGCTTCGCGGGTGACTTACCCGAGCGCGCCGGGCCCGGTAGGATCGGGGGCGCCCGGCGCCTAAAGCACCTGGAGGCTGCAGCTCCCCGAAAACGTGCTCGGCCACTCCGGGGCCCGGCCGGGGCGGCGGAAGAGGGAGGCTCCCGGAGGGCGAGACCCCCACGGGCGCCCTGGGACCTCCGGATCGGGGGTCCTCGGTGCGGCGAGGTGGGCGTGGGAGCCTGTCGGAAATGCGGGTGTGGGTGTCCGTGCTGCCTTTATTTTCGCGTTCTTAAAGGATTTTGAATGAAAGGTTAACGTTTCTAAGTATGTGGGTTTTTGGTTTTGTTTTGGATTTTGTTTTTGTTTTTGTTTTTCTTTTCTTTCTTTCTTTCTTTTTTTTTAAAGCATAGGAGACTTTTAAAATACTGGCCTGTATTCAGTTTCAGTGTAGCTTAAACTGGTAGTGACGAGCTACTTATTTAGAAAGTAGAGAAATGAGCAGTCCCCTTTGGAGATAGAGGTAATTTATTTTAATTCACCAGCAAGAGGTTATGTTTGTCCTGCACAATGGAGGCGTCCGTGCGCTAGCTGCCTGTCCACAACACCACCAATCAGGGAGATAAATCTCCCAAGTTAAGGTTTATTAAAATTCTGAGTAATATCACAGTACAGTAAATGTTAGCACTGTGGGCCCTGCAGGGAAATATTCACTCATTTCTGGGGTTAGTCATTCCTCTCTCTAAACTGATAACTTTCAAAAGAAAGAGCAAACCAACCTTCCAGAGTGGCAAATGGGTTTGTTTTTGCTTTTGCTTTTCTGATTTACCTAAATACAAACCTGTGCTCTGATCTCTCACATAAAGAATCACTCCTTCCAGGAAGGGTACTGTTGTTCGGCAAATCCTCTTTGTTTAAAATTTTACTGTTCTTCGCTCACACGTTTCTGCCAGGTTTTCTTTTTGTTGTTGTTGTTCAGAAGCAGCAATCAATAGGGCAACACCGTGAGGACCTAAATTTGAAATCGATTTGGGTAGAGAAACTTGACCTGTCTGCCACCTTAACAAGCTTTGTGGAGTAAAATGAGTGAACTTCAATTTCATTAGTTATGTGTCTGCCTGAAACCCAGGTGGAGGGGCACTCTGATTCCACATGGTTTTTACAAAACAAATTAAAAGCTGGACAACAAAAGAATTCTATTCTGTAGCTAGTAATGAGAGCTCTTTATGTGGGAGTGGTAGACTGCCTTTTCTTCTGGTATTTATACCCAAAAACCAGGCGAGCTTTACCCATTGCCTTCCATACCAATTCTCTGTCCATCTCCGTGAGGCTGAAAAAATGTACGCCAAAGTCAGCAAGTTGTCGGCAAACCAGACTTAGAAAAAGAGCTGACCTAGTGGGCTCAGGAAGGATCATTGGTAACAGTTAAGATGTCTTTTTATGTGGGTCTTCTGTTTGAGGTTTATTTAATCAACAGGTAACAGGATTTAGTTCATGAAGCTCAGACTTAAGGAGCATGGACCATGGTCTAATAACATTTGTATGTGCTCTCCACTCCATAGTGATGTGGTGGGAGAAGGCCCGTGCCTCATCATCCCGGTTACCTTCCCATGGAGCAGCTCCACTGGGATTGATGTGCACTGTGCCCCCTTAGTTAGCCCTGCAGTAGCTCTGTGATCCTGGGCAAGTCATCGGAGGTCTCTGGGCCTCCCTTGCCCTGTAAGATGCAACATCACTGTAAAATGTTACAACATCCATCTCTCAGAAATGCCAGGAAGATTCAGTGAAGTGGGAATGTGTGGTCGCCCAGCATGGGCTTAACTCTTGTCAGTAGGATCCTGTCCGTTCAGGGATCATTAGTAGTGAATATTGATTCCTGAGTGCACGTGGATGACATGATCCACTAAGTGGAGATTCTGAGCCAATGGGGCCACTTTGGATCCAGGACAACCCTTCCTCTGCTCCCCTCCTGCTCCATAGGACGATTAATTTATTGTCAGTGTTCTCCAGCCTTCACTGGCCACCATGATAATTACTCGCACTCTGAGGGTTTTAACAACCTTCCCCAGTGCCTCTTGCCTGCTCTGCGTGGTAGACTCTCCTCCCACGCTGCCTCTCTAGCCAGGGGTGTATGTGTGTGTGTGTGTGTGTGTGTGTGTGTGTAGCAGTTGGGAGGTCTGGTTTAGCCATAATGTTGATCATAAAGAGAAAACAAAGTACAAACTCGAAGGAGTCATGGGGAAATGTCCTACTTGCCACCTCCAGTAAGCCCTATCAATTGCACAATATTTTAATTACTCAGAGTTCCTGGTTGTAACAGGTGGCAGCACCCAGGGTAGATTATGGGGGAAGACAATGAGGGGGGCCCTGTAAAGCTGCCCATAGACCTTCGGTTTCAAAGCCGGGAGGCTGGCTGGTGAGGCATGCCCCATGGGGTAAAGGTTACTATCGCTGATGCTAGCCCAGCTTCTGCGAAGATGAGTTTTAGTTTTAGTTGCTTCGTATTTTCATATACCACTCTGGTGGCATTATCTTGGTACCTTTCTTACTTATTAATATAGAATTTACCCAGCCAGCCCTATGTTAGGGCTCCAAGTTCAGTTTTCTGTCTCCAGCAGTGTCCAATTGCAAGCCACGTAAAAACTCTAAGTTTTCTAATAGCTACACTCAATATAGGAAAGTAAGTGAAGTTAATTTCCATATATTTCAATTAACTGAATACATTCGGAATATTATATAAACATGCAGTAAATATAAAGTCATGACTGAGATACTTTACTTTTTTTTTTACACGATCTTTGAAATCTTGTGTATTTTACATGCAGAGCTCATCTCAGCCCATCTTAGTCATGTGCCAAGTGCTTGGTAGCCGCAAGTGGCCAGGGGCCACCGCACTGGTCAGCGCAGGTCTGTCTAGTAGAGGCCCAGACTCTATCAAAGCAAGTAAGACTGCTCTGTGATCAGCATTACTTGCCCTTGAAGAAATGCACAGCTGAGCAACACACACAGCAGACCTATTTCGAGTTTGTGTAGTCCACACAGGAGGGTTTGGGAGAGGGCAGGGGGTTTGGCCTGAAGCCGTGCTTCTGGGAACCTTTTCTGTCCTTCTGGGAGTGCTTCCTCACAGCTTAGGGAGAGGCTAGGACCTCAGAGGCTCTTTCCAGCGTCCTGACCTGGATCTGGATCCACCAGGAGTTCCCAGGTTGAGCTGACTGCCTCTTCTTACCCCCGCCCCCTGCAGCAAACAGGAGGTGGCTAGTGCCTGCCCAGCAACTCCGCCCCCCGCCCCGAGGGTGTCCTGCACCCTGAGCCAACCGTGGACATGGCAGTGAAAAGCAGCTCACCCCGCTCCTGTCATGGGAAGATGAGGTCCTCCTGGCTCAGCTCCCCCAGCCAGGCTCCCTTGGGAGGCCCTGCCTGACCAGCCAGACAGAAAGTGACTTTATCTGTGTGCTTCATCTCTAAGTGGAATTCAGGAGAGAATCAGCATTATTATTTAATTACTTAAATAGCATACCCTTTGTGAGGAGGGCCTAAGACGTAAGAACTAGCATTTAGGTTTGAATGACCTGTCTTGCTGTAGACCTTGACAGACTCCGCCAGAATTAGGGTTGATGGAGCCAGTAGAGACTTGTTAGAAATGTGTGTGAGTTGTTGCCCCTGTGACTCTTTCTTTATGTCTTTTCCTTTCTCTTTTTTTTTTTTTTTTAAAGATGAATGACTTTGGAATCAAGAACACGGACCAGGTCGCCCCTGTATCTAACAGTTACAGAGGGACACTGAAGGTAAGAGAGCAAGTCTGAATTTAAAAGTTTTTAGAAAACATTGAGGAACTCAGTCTCTAGGAGGAAAAACCACCTGCTGGGTCCTAAAAGACTGGTTCTAGCCCCAGCCTTTTAATTTACGGGCTGTGTGACTCTGGATTGTTTGCTTAATCTCTCTGGGCCTCAGTTTTCTAGTCTATAAAATGGGTCTCCTGATGCTCGTTCTACTTGTCTTCCAAGATACGAAACCATTTAATTTGCAGATGGGGAGGCCTTTGTGGTTTATTTCTGAGACTCCTGGCAGGTGAAAAATCCTATGATTCTCAGTAGGACAGAGCTGGAGAAGCTGTCTCCACTGCCCTTCTGTTCCCCCTTGGGTTTTCCCAGGGCGATGGGCTGGGTGTTGAAGAACTGGAAAGGAAAGAGCTGAGAGGTGGAAGACCGGTGCCGCAGTGGGGGCTTCTTCCCTTCAGAAGGGCCAGTGCCCACGGGGCTGCAGGCAGCCTGTCGTCCCTGCCACAGAGAACAGCGTGCCTGTTGGCGTAAACCAAACACAGATGAACAATGAAGGAGCCTTTAACGGTGCATAATAACCAAATTTCACGTAGTTTCTATCTTAGTTCCTTTTGAGAACGTTCTCGAGTAGCACAAACTGATCATTTCCCCTTTGCCTTCTCCAAATGTGACAGCGAGATTGCATTGTTTTCTTAGCATCGTGTAGTAAACACGTTTCAGAGCACAATTTTAGATTGGCCTCCTCCAGTCTTATAGTGATGTATCTCTGTCCCGTTATATTTTCCTTTATAAATCCTTCGCAGGTTATTTGGGAGAGCCCAAAAAGCCAGAAATGGGCCCAGGCTCTCCTTGAGTATCATGAAGGTCATGAAACTTCAAACCAGAGAGTTTTCTGGTTTGATTTGGTCAGATGTTTTCAGCGTGGCAGAAACCGTACAAGAAATTTCGGTATTAAGTTTGCAGCCACACCCTGGGAAGAAAAATTCTTCTATAAGTTAGAAAGGATTTGATGATGCCCATGTGATTTCTGGGTTTGGAGAAGAAACAGTCGTTGCTGAAATTGATGTGTTGAAATACTCAGTGTGAATTTGTATTGTCTTTTGGCTTCCTGGTTTTAAAAAAAGAACTTCCAGTCAGGAAAGGAGAGGCATGTCCTTGGTCACCCGGGGAAATGCTGTGGGAATTTTAAAAATTGATTGGCTGTGTCACCAAAATTAGCCCTGAAGCAGTTTATACATCTAGATGCAGATTTCAAACTTGATTGTTTTTTCCCTTAAGGTTTTGGCAGGTGGACATTATTGTCTTGGGCTCCGGGCCGGGGGCGGGGCTGGGCTCCAACATCATTGGGACATCATTGTCTTGAGTGTTTTCGGCGAAGTCCCAGCTTCTGCCTACCTTCTTACGTAATGCGTCATGCATTGTTCTGCATTTCTAAGAAGAAAGCACACAAACCGATTTTATTTGTAAATGTGTTGCACATTTTTTTAATTGATGACTTAACAGATGGGTCATTGTATTACACATAACATGGGCTTTCCACTTTATGTTGGAAAAATATAACCATCTTTTACGTTGTTCCTCAGCAGGTCAGGCAGCGATGAATCAAGACTATATCTGTTACTTATAAACAGGTCTTACACTAAAGGCGATCTCTTTTGTAAAGGTTAGATGAATTATCAGAGATCACCACTGTGTGTGGGGTTTATCTTTCTCTGTGTCTCTGTCCTCTTCCTCCCCCTAAGCTGTACATAGTTTTACTTGAAACCTTTTTTCCTTTGGAAATCTTTCCCCTTAGTTGATGATGGGGGGCAGGGGTCTTTTCAAAACCTATACTTTTGTAAAATTAAACCCTAAGGAATGTTTTCATATGTATTACTGTCTTCTGAACCATTGGAATTGATGAGAGGGAAAGAAAATCTAGTTTTAATTAAAGCGTTTCACAGTTAAAACATAAAAATAAATGCTTCCACAAATAGTTGAGCTCACTGTTTTCCAAGTTTCATTCAGTCATCTGCCTTTGCTTTACTGCAGTGAGCTAAAACTGTCCTGCTTAGGGTCTGACTCAGTTTCCCTCTGATGGGGCAAAGGGGCCAGGTGTTTGGACCAGCTGGTCTCTAAGCCCCACCCAGCACTGTTCTTCTAAATTTCCATTATTTTTAGGTTTGTTTACTTAGTTTATTCATTGAAATTAGGCCATTAAAAAGAAATTCCCAGTCATTCTGACTCTGTGAGGTCAAAGCAATGATCCAGAGTAAAATAGAATCCTTTCCATCACTTTGACTGTAGAAGTCTGGACAGAGCATTGACCGGTCAATTCCTTTTATGGCTTTATAATTGCCAGTTTCATGAGGGTGTATCACTTAGATGACCCATGGACCACTTTTCAAACAGGTAATTAAGTAAGTTTAAATATTAATTTCAGTCTCCTTTTCCATCTGTTTCGCAGCGCCAGCCAGCTTTTGACACCTTTGATGGGTCCCTGTTTGCTGTTTTTCCCTCTCTCAATGAAGAGCAAACACTCCAAGAAGTGCCAACAGGCTTGGATTCCATTTCTCATGGTAATTTGTTACTCAGACTTGACCAATTGTGCATAATTTCCCGTAGTTCAGTTAATAAAAAGATGACCGTTGGTAAGCGACAAAGGTTGGTGTCTTGAATCTTTGGTTTGAAAAGTCAGATGGTGGCTCTGAACCTGGGAGAAGACAGTTTTCCTTCTTTATGAGCATGAGGGTCCTGATGTCGTCCGCTGCCAGATGCACCCCAGACTGCCGGGGGAGCTCCTGAGATTTCCAGTGGGATGTTCTCATCACTGTAGCAAGCCCAGGCCCCATCTCCCAGGGGCACCTACAAAGCAGACCATGAAAGTGCCCTCCAGCTTCTCATTCTGGGGTCTCTTTATTCGTTAGATCATCCCCTACCCTGGAGTCTTGGGGCAACAAATTATACTTGCTAATATTTGCCCGTCTGCATTTACTTCTGTAGTTCTTAATGTCATTGTTTATTATTTTTTAAAGGGATAACAGTCAGATAATGCCTATACAATTACTGTGATAGGGTTATTAGTTGGAAACATTCCAGAGATTACTTCGTCATATGAAGTAGGTGCCTAGAAAATACAGCCTGGAAAATTAATTAAAACACATAGGCTTGCATAAGCATGCCATCCTGAGCCGGTCATTTATCATTCTTGAAATTGCTGAGGGAATCCAGAGATTGCTTTTCATTAAAAATTGCAGATGTGCCGACTTTACACATGCTAAGAAGTCCCTTTGCCTGCTGCTTACTTTAATGGAAATAACGTCAAACTGTGCATTTGCCTCCCTTTAAAACTTCTGACCAAAACCATGTGCTTTCTTTCATTGTCTAAAAATTTTAAAAGAGACTTAGATAGAAATTTCATCTGAGGATAGTTGGGTTTTTTTAATGAGGTTTTGCAAAATAATTTGCAAAATAAAACTTGGGTTTTATTTTAGATTTTTTTTTTATAAGTTTAGTTATGAGATGTATAATACTTTCTCAATTCCTGCTGCCCCCCCGCCCAATTTTTGTTAATAGTTATACTCTTCTAAAGAATACTGTCAAGGTTTGTGATTGAAATTGTTCCTTCCTGAAAACTAAACTGTTTCCCCTAAATTCTCTATCTGGTCTTGCCAGCTTGAAGTCCTAATGTCCCCGTGGGGTTTCTTTCTAGACTCTGCCAACTGTGAATTGCCTTTGTTAACTCCGTGCAGCAAGGCTGTCATGAGTCAAGCCTTAAAAGCTACCTTCAGTGGCTTTAAGAAGGAGCAGCGCCGCCTTGGCATCCCAAAGAGTAAGTGCGTTCTAGTCGTTTCTCTGAGTCCGCGTTGTACTCGGACAACAAATCTGACCGCAGTCGCTTGAGCTGACGCTCTGACTCAGCACTGTTGTTGGGGTCTTAGAACTCCGCTGGGTGGCTTGCTCCTTTGGCCGGTCTCTGGGACACATCTGGACTTTGTGGGTCGGTCGGGAGTGACTGCGGTCTAACTGCCTCCTCCCGTTTTCTCCCTGTGTTCCGTCTTTGCCCCCCTCCCTGCAGACCCCTGGCTGTGGACCGAGCAACAGGTCTGCCAATGGCTCCTGTGGGCCACCAATGAGTTCAGCCTGGTGAACGTCAATTTCCAGAGGTTCGGCATGAACGGCCAGGTGCTGTGCAACCTGGGCAAGGAGCGCTTTCTGGAGCTGGCTCCGGATTTCGTGGGCGACATTCTCTGGGAGCATCTGGAGCAGATGATCAAAGGTACCCGCTGAGGGACTGGGTGCCTCCCCGCTGGGGAGAGCCGCGGCAGGGAAGGGAGATGGGGGATCGGGGCTCTGTAATCCTACGGTCGGGGTTTCAAATTATGTAGAGTAAATTGCTGGAAAATGCCATGGGGGTGAGTCAAATGTGTGGCAGTGATTATAGGTTTTTTAATCCACTAAAGTCTGTGTGTGTGTGTGTGTGTGTGTGTGTGTGTAGCATCAAGGATAGCCACAAGGCAGTAACCTTAGTCACTGCCTTGTGCACAGTGATCTGATGGCATGCATCCGGCAAGTACGTGTTGCCCCAGATAATGGAGGCCAGCGAGAAGTCCTGTGTTTTGTGGCTCACCTTAAAGAACCCAAAGAAGAAAGTCAGCCTCAATGAAAGGGAGCCTTTATTCAGACAAACCCCGTGAATTTTACAGTGAATTTTCCTAAGACCAAATGGAATCCAACAACAAGAATTTCTTCTGGTTTTATGTATTTAAACGAATGCAGAAGTAATTGATAACATATTTATACACGGACACTCTACAGAAACCGGCCATTGAACAAAAGAACTCTCATCATATAGAAGGTCTTGGTTTAGACCTTAAAAGAGTGTTGACAGCAGTGTTAAAAAATACATCCAGTTAAAAAGGGAAAAAAAAAATTATAGTGCGGGATTAGGTTAAAAATATGAGAAAATTAGTTCTTTGGTCGAGTTCGGAGCAATAGTCCTCGTTCACTTGGTTTTAAACACTGAGTTTCAACACCGTTTACAGACTCAGAATCTTTAAAAGACCTTAGGATTCAGCCACTCTCTCTTTCAGCTGTGGCTTCTGGGGGCCAAGGAAACTTAAGTTTGGAGACCCCCAAATTCTCCCTGAATTTGGACAAGTCTGATTGGACAAGTTTCTGGTGAATCTGTTCACTGGCACGTTGGGCCTGTTTTGTGGTCACTCCGGGTGTAAGTCTGAGGGTCTGGATTTGTGGATGCGTGTGGCTCAGTGTGTTTGTAGGAAGTAAGCACACACAGAGAATGCTAACCTTTTCCTTTTCAAAGTCCCAGGGCACCGGGGCCCCCTTCAGGTTCCCACAACACTGCTGGCCTCTCTCAGGCCACACTCACCTCACCCTGGAGAAATGAGGGGCTTGAAGCCATGAACCATAACCTCAAGAGGGCAGGAGCTGGGTCTGCTTTACTAACCCACTGTATTCCCAGCCCCTGAGACAAGTGGCACTTCATAAATATTTAACTGTCTGTTGACGGCACAGATGAATTAAATTCACAGTCTAGATATTTAAAATTATGCAGTAGAACATTTCACTTGGCCAGTGACAGCATTCATTTTGGAAAACTTACTCTGGTTATTAGGAAATGCGTTGCCATCTCGAGTTTTTGAAAAAGACCAAATGTTGAGGCGCCTGGGTGGCTCAGTTGGTTAAGCGTCTGCCTTCGGCTCAGGTCATGATCCCAGGGTCCTGGGATCGAGCCCCGCATCGGGCTCCCTGCTCCGCAGGAAGCCTGCTTCTCCCCCTCCCTCTCCCCTTGCTTGTGTTCCTTCTCTGGCTTTGTCCCTCTCTGTCAAATAAATAAATAAAATCTTTAAAAAAAAAAAAAAAGAAAAAAAGACCAAATGACACCAAATACCATCAGCTTAAATGTGAAGCGTAAATGCATTTAGTTATCCTAAAATAACCATAAAGCAGTAATTTAGAAATAAATGTTTTTTCTTGCATAGTTTTAACCTTGATTTGCAATCCTGTGTCTCCGGTGTCTGTTTTCCAGAAAACCAAGAAAAGACAGAAGATCAGTATGAAGAAAATTCACACCTCAACTCAATCCCTCATTGGATTAATAGCAATTCACTAGGTCAGTCCAATCAATTCTGCCCTGAAGACCTTGGTGTTAACTTTTTCTATTAAATTGGGACTCCCACCCCCCCAAAAAATAAATAAAATAAAAATAAATTTGCTGGAGGTCCAGAGGCCAGTCTCAGCCTGCGCTGTCCCATTGGGTGACCACACGTGGCCGCTAAGCTGCTGAGCACTTGAAATGTGGCTGGTTCACATTGAGACGTGCGGTAAGAATATAATGTGCACCGGCTCTGAAGAGCTTAATGGAACAAAGAATGCAAAATGCCTCCTTAATAATTTTTAAGATACTGATTACATGTTAAAATGATAATTGGTAATATTGGGTCAGGTCAAATATTAAAATTCATTTCACCTGGTTCTTTTTAGTTTGCTCCTGGAACTACTAGAAAATGTAACGTTGTCTGCGTGGCTGGTGTTATCTGTGCATTGGCCAGTGGGGCTTCAGGCAGGGAATAGAACACGGGGTGGAATGAAGCGAGCTGATTAGCTGCTGTCAGAGCTAGCATAATCAATAGGGGTGCCAGGCACAGGAGGCATGTAGAAAGCAATTCTAAATTTGCTCTGATCTTTGGGGTCTTTCCCTCTGGTCACTGACACTGATGAGTATAGGTTATGGGGGGGTCCCGCTAGCCAGCAGAGGGAGGGACTGTTCCCTTATAAGTCACATACTGGGTGGCAAATCACTCCGTCTCTCTGAGGCTTACTGCCCTGGGAAGCTGAATGAGCCAGTGACCTCTGCCATTCCGAGAGTCACGTGAAGGCGTTTGCTAGATAGAGCCATAGAGATGCTAACATTGAGGTGTCACATCTTGGCTCCGAGGCAGCAGGCGTTTTGGAAGGGGGCTTATTGGCTGAGAGCATGAATGGCTTGTGAAGAGGAGGTAGTGGAAAAGCCGCCTGCCAAAGCCCACTTTCCACCGTGGTTTCGGGGAGGGTTAGAGCATGCAGAACTGGTTGCATTTGATTCGGGTTGAGGGCACAGAGGGTCTCTGATGACCCCACCACTCCTGCTTCATAGCTCTGCTGTCCGGTTGCTCTGTCCCAGGCTTTGGTGTGGAGCAGGCAGCGTACGGCGTGCAGACCCAGAATTACCCCAAAGGCAGCCTCCTGGACTTGCGTCCATCCTCCTCGGCGCCCAGCGTGCTCGGTTCTGAGCAGGAGTTTCAGATGCTGCCCAAGTCTCGACTCAACACCGTCAGCGTCAACTACTGTCCCATCAGTCAGGACTTCCCGAGCGGGAGCTTGAACCTGCTCGCCGGCGGTTCTGGTAAGTCGGAACTCCCGCAGGCTCCGTCCGCAGGGCCGGTGGTTGGATTCCAGGAGCCACAGTCAGACGGAGACGCAGTCTGCATCCTGAGTGGCCGTCCGGCACTGTAACTGCAGGGGACGGCTTTGCTCAGCACGCGTGGGCTCCCGCTGTGTTTCAGGCTCCCGGCCGGGCACTGCGGGTACCGAGTAAACGAGACAGGGCCCCTGCTCTCGCAGGTGGATTCCTCCACCCGGTGGGGTATTTTGGGAGAAGATGCAGGAACATGACATTCCTGCAGTCAGTAGCATCCCCACACCGAAGGGAAACCACTGTCTTGACTTTTGTCCTCAGAGATGAGTTTTTCCTGTCCTTGGGCTTCATAGAAATGGAATCCTAGCGTTACGTTTTCTTTTGTGTTGGTGTTTTGCTCCTCCTTATGTCTGAGACCCAGCCATGCTGTTGCTCTCTTCATCGCTGTATAATACTCCATCCCTCGAAGGTGCACTTGACCCACCCATGCTGCTGCAGATGGAGGATGCGGTTAAATAGGGCATCTGTCGTAAGAAACGAGTGGCTGGCGAGAAGTCTAGGACTCTGCACCAGCAGGCTATAGGTGGAGTGGTGGGGGTGTTGCAGCCCCCAGACCAGCCTGTGGGACCCCCCCCTCCACCGCTCGGCAGCACCGGATGGTTCGCTGTCCTGGAGGACTCAGAGTTTGCGCCCGGCTGTCTTTGCCAGGGAAGCCCCGGGACCGCGACTCCCCCGAGAACGGCACGGACAGCTTCGAGAGCTCGGACTCCCTGCTGCAGTCCTGGAACAGCCAGTCGTCGCTGCTGGATGTGCAGCGGGTGCCGTCCTTCGAGAGCTTCGAGGATGACTGTAGCCAGTCCCTGTGCCTCAGTAAGCCGACCATGTCCTTCAAGGACTACATCCAGGAGAGGAGCGACCCGGTGGAGCAGGGCAAACCGGTTATACCCGCAGCAGTGCTGGCCGGCTTCACGGGTGAGTGTGTCACGCCAGCCCTCCCCATCCCCTCCCCGCGGCCTGGCCCCAGCGCCGGGTTCCTCCAGGGTGTTTCTGGTCCGAGCACATTGTAGCTACAGCCCGCACTTGGTGCGTGGCTGTCCTCCTGAATCGGGCAGGCTCTACCCCTGAATTCTAAAAAGGCCAAGCTCATACGAACTGTCGTGCCCAGTGGTGTGGATGGGACTCCATGGGCCGCCCCCTCACCTGGGATGTGCTCGGCCAGCCTGGAGAGGAGCAGACGCGGGGGCCACGGACCTGTGGAGGCTTCAGCTCTGACTCACCCACTCCAGGAATCCCAAAGAATGTAAACTTGCCCAGGGAGGGACGGCAGAGCCAGCTTCAAACAGCGCAGGGACTGTTTACCTTTGCTTGCTTCTAAAATCCATCTTATTTTTAAAATTTGGGCGAAAGCTATTTCAGGCGAGGGACAAATAATAAAGCCGTTTTTAGAACCAAATATTTCCAGTACTTTAGCGAAAACACCAAGATTTTTTTTTTTCATTGCTTCATGGGTCCTTAAATGTGTTTTTTTCATACTTTGACCATATGGAGCCACTGGATTAAAAAAAAAATGCCTACTTAAAATATTCAATAGGTTAAAATAAGAATACAGAAGCATCCATTTTTTTCTTTTCTGTTATCCCAAACATCCACAGGAATGGTCTTGTCTTTCATTTTTTTAAAATGTTTTAAATTAGTTAATTAATTAATTTAATTATTTTGAGAGAAAGAGAAGCACGCGAGCATATGCAAGTGGGAGGCAGGGGGGCAGAGGGAAAGGGAGGGAGAGAACACTAAGCAGACTCCCCGCTGAGCAGAGATCACGACCCGGGGCTCGATCTCAAGACCCTGAGATCCTGAGCTGAGCCAAAATCAGGACTCAGACGTTCAACCGACTGAGCCGCACAGACGCCCTTTGGTGTTTTCAATTTTAATATTAGTTGCCATTTGTTGACTGTCAGCTCGGTGTGGTTAACTAGGCATATATATAGTTGGTTGTCCTTGGGACAGCCCAGCGGGGGTGGGGGCGCTCACCTGTTTGACAGGTGGTACAGTTGGCTCGGAGGTAGACAGCTCTCCACGGTCACACGGGTGACCTGGATGTGTCTGGTTCCAGAACTCCCGTCCTTGGTGCTTTACAGCCTTATTGCTGATGGCCATTGGTTCTTGAGGAACAACGCTTTGATGGGTGTGTGATCTAGGGCGGGGCACCTGGCCTCTGAGCTGCTCCTCATCTTTAAAATAGTTCTTCACAAGATGGTGGTTCTAAATATTAATCCAGGAATGGTATATGGAAAGCAAAGCGTACCTCATCAGAGGTGGTGAGGCCATGGAGACAACCCTAAATGCCCAAGTGGCTCTTGAGTAAACCAAGTCTTGGATTAAGCAATTTGCCCACCGTCATTTGGCAGGAAAGCTGCAGTATAGGATTCCATGACACATGCCTCATTCTGTGGTGAAATGCGCCTTCAGCCACCCCCACCCCTGTCCCACTGGGTGGTTCTAGAAATGAACCCTGAAACTTATTGCATAAGGAACAATTAAACAGGATGAGGAATTTTTTTTTTTAAGATGTTATTTTTTAGTAATCTTATTATTTAGTAATCTTAACCCACCATGGGGCTCGAACTCACAACCCTGAGATCGAGACTCACCTGCTCCACTGACTGAGCCAGCCGGGCCCCTCCAAGATGAGGAATTTTAATGTCAAGAGTTGGTGGCCCTGAATTTTCTTCCAGAAAGACCCAACTCAGCTACCAAGGGCGTAGCGCCCCCTTTTTCAGGAGGGGGAGGGGGGACCCCAGATTGGGTGTCTAGCCTCGTGCCTTTGAAGGGGTCAGTCCTGTCACCACGCTTGGAGTTGTGCCTTCACGTTGGCACCCTGCCCAGAGTCGGGGCTCCCATTCCTCAGTCAGCCCGTTTCATTAGAAAGGACTAAAGCCTTGCCGTACTTTAAATCTATAAAAACGTGCAACTCGTCCCTTTCCCCCAGGAAGCGGCCCTATTCAGCTGTGGCAGTTTCTCCTGGAATTGCTCTCGGACAAATCCTGCCAGCCCTTCATCAGCTGGACCGGGGACGGCTGGGAGTTCAAGCTCGCGGACCCCGACGAGGTACAGCCAGAGCTTGGGAAGTCAGTCTCTGGGCTTTGAACCCTGATTTCATCACTCTGGGCTCATAAACTCGGTCCTCTGGGCACAAGGAAGGGTTCGCCGCTGCAGATGAGTTCTAGGGTTCTGTGGGTGTGCGCTTGGGCGCGGGGCAGGCTTCTGCGAGTTGCTCTCTCTTCTGATAAAAAGGCGCAGATGCTACGTCGAGGGTCTTTCCTGACCATCTGAAATGCCGTAGGAAATGTGCTTTTTTCCCCTGGTGGGAACTGAGCCTCTGGCAGCCCGGGCTGGACTTCTGGCCCTGCAGCTCTGTCACGCTCAGCTCAGGCACTCAGAAACCCTGGAGGGGAAGGCCGAGGGCAGACCCGAGACCCTCCCCTCCAGGACAGCGTTAGAGAACCCTGGGGGTCTCAGGCAGCCTTAGAGTGCAAGCTGGCGCCGCCCGATTCCCTGGGGAGGCAGAAGCCTTGAGGAATGCAGAATGTCCCATGGCTCAGAGCCGCACCCAGCAGCTGTTGACTGTGGGGTGTGGAATAAGAAGCGGGGCGGGGGAGGGAGGGGACACAGCATTTCCCTTGTGTCAGGCCCGCCTGGTTGGGAACAGTTGGCTCCAGCACGAAGCCTTGCTGCATGAGACGGTGTGGTTGGTGGGGGGCGGGGGGCCTCACTCTCCCACCTGCACCTGCCTCCTTCCTCAGAGACACAGGTGCTGAAGCAGACCCACCCCTGGGGCCCTTCTGTAGTGGTCAAGTTCTCTGGGGGAAGCAGCCTGAGACTCCTCACTGGGGGCAAGTCATTCACCTTTCCTTAACTGCGAGTGAGGAAAATTGCAGATTTGAACTCTTTCCACCCGTGTCCGCTACAGGTGGCCCGCCGGTGGGGAAAGAGGAAAAACAAGCCCAAGATGAACTACGAGAAGCTGAGCAGGGGCTTGCGCTATTACTACGACAAGAACATCATCCACAAGACGTCGGGGAAGCGCTACGTGTACCGCTTTGTGTGTGACCTGCAGAACTTGCTGGGGTTCACCCCCGAGGAACTGCACGCCATCCTGGGCGTCCAGCCGGACACGGAGGACTGAGGCCCGCGGGGCCCCGAGCTGAGCCGGCCCGGCCCGCGTGGGACTTCGAGTGCGGCCATGCGACCGACTGCTCCAGGGACCCTGAAAGGCGGGATCGAACGCGTCCAGGGGAGTCCCCAAGAAGCAGTGGCCTTATTTCACCGGAAACCGCGGCTTTTCACCCAAAGCAGCGTGGTTTCTCACTTCTAAAGCCTGCTGACAGGAACACGCTATTTATGATGCTATTACATTAGAATGGCCGAGAAAGAAGCACTGGGAAGCCGTCCTGGCTCCGAGCAGGCCGCGGGCCAGGAACGTTCAGGCCGTTGGATATTCTCCAAGGAGCGAGCATGTCTCGGGCACACATGTTTTTTTGGGTTTTTTTTTTTTCCATTTTCTTTTGCCATTGGCCGTCAGGAATCACGAAGGCAGAAGCAGTCTCTGGTTCAACGAGGCGGAGGGTGCAGAGATAGTCGTGCCGTTTCAGAAGTTAGTTTGTATATATGACTGTAATCTTAATAATTGTTGTCAAAATCCTCTCAGAGTCCTATTTAACGAGAACTGTATATTGTAATTTAAAATAATTCTGTAAGTGTATTTGAAATAAGAACGCAGACGTCCGGTGTTCACTGCGGTTTCCGAGAGCACATGCAGCGTCCCGCGAGCACGGCGTGTGCCACGGTGGACGAAGAAGTTGTAAAGTGTGTATTATTTACATTTAATATGCCTACAGGTAGATGTCGAAGAGGGTCAGTCCCTGTTTCTGTTTTGTTTTGCCTGGATGATTACCTGGCAAGGACTTTGTACATTTGGGAATTTTTATGAAACACTTAATGTTATTATCTGGAGGCCCATCTAGCCTCTGCTTTTCTCCTTAATCGTAATGTAAAAGCTATAAAGCAGTATTTTTCTTGACAAATGGCATATGTTTTCCATTTCTGTGCATGCCTTTAAATCCGTTTATACATACAAGACTGATTTTATTTTTTAGTTCGACTGTGTTTCCCCAACAACTAACCTCCCCAACCAGCCATTTCCTTCCCATGCTCCACCTCCGTGCCCCAAATTATTCTGTATGATTAAAATAAGAATGCTATTTTTGGAAATATGTGGCTCTTTTTCAGAGAGCAGGAGGGATTTACGTAGCAGCTACTTTTACTGCAGAAGTAATTCACTGGAAAAAAAATGTAATTTGTAAGAAAGCTTTATTTTTATCTGCGCTCTGTGTGAAGTTAAACAGGTCGTACTGAGCTGAAGCCCGGGGCAGGTGGGGGAGAGGAGGGGGAATCCTCATGAAGCCTCTTGGTCGTGAACAAAACACGACTTTTCCCTCACCTGTGGAGTCGTGGGCTATCTGGACACGATGCTGCTCCTTTCTGCTCAGTGCCCAAGCTCTGTGTCCTTGTTTTCGTGCCCAGAGGCAAAGAGAGGACAAGCGAGATGGGAGAATCCACCGGAGGATTCGAGATGAAAAAAACATGTTGCTCACCATGGAGACTTTCATGGTTGTTTCCAAGGAGCACCTGGGTGGGCATGTATTTGGGGAGCTTGGAAACAATCAAGCCAATGTGGTTTCAGGGCCACATGAGCCTCCCTCGCAATGTGGGGGACACTCGGAACCGTGGCTGACATCCCCAGAAAAGAGTCCGTCTGTCTAATGAGGCTGTGGGACTGGGTGGCAAGGCCAGCTGGGCAGAGCAGCGCCAGAGCTGGGGGACTCAGTCCCAGTACCTACACGAGACCATTTCCAGTGTCTAAGCACAGGATGTTTTTCTCAAGCAGGACATGTTTATCACTCAGAAATCTGTTTATAACATCCACAGACATGTGACTGGGAACATCTTGCTGCCAAAGGGAATCTTAGCCATCGGCTCATTTTATATGGGGTTGAACCACATGAAATTGCCAATATTTGACTTTTTTTATCTACAGAGTTGGGCGGTTTCATGTGATTCAACCTAATAGTTATAGGAACTAAAGCCCATGATAAACCTTTGGTGTGGTAATGAACAGACTTAAGGATAGAGATTTTGTAATCTGGCCTTTTCTTTCTCAAATAATAAAGTATTTTGTTTATATAAATGCCTCCTTGTAAGGGTCCTCCTTTCGTCCCACCCCAACAGGGAGGGAGGAGGGGAGGTGGAGTGAGGATAGCAAAGCCCAATCCATTGTCCGCGCTGCCCCCCGCACCGCCCTCTCCGGTAGCTTTCAGTCTATTGAGAATCACATCTCCATTTAACTGGTTTTACACGTGGGGTCACCCAGCAAATCGTGACCAAGCTGCAACCCAGCTGTGAGCTCTTCCTGAAGGAAGCCCCAAAAAGTGTTGCCTTCAACCGAAAAATTTTTTAGGAAGGGATTAGAATAGAAAGATGCAGGCGTCTTGTCTTTGCCAGGGGATTGGCAGAGCTAACAGAAGAAATTGTAAGGATTCTTCAGTGAGGAACCCCAGTAGGGTTTTTGAGGTTCAGGAACTTTTCTCCAGGATGCCTGATATTGCTGAGCTGACTTACTAGAGGTGAGGGTGATGGTCCTGGGATACAGGTTCTCAAACACACTTCAAATTTAGTGAGGATGCCAACAAACAGGTAGGTTATATCAGAGGTGTCCTGGAGGCCCCTCCCCACGGGCTGGCGAGAACAGATCCCTTCCCCACTTTGCATCAGTGATGTGTTGGTATCTTGAATGTGATCGTGGTGAGAGTATGTGCACCATGAAAATCAGCAGACACTACAAATCAGGGCTCCCCTCAAGCCCCCTCAGGGAGCTGGTTCTTAAACATTTACCAGAACACCACTGGTCATCAGTGTTCACCGTATTAGAAATTAGAACACATTTTAAAATACAATTCCTTTTTAAAATAACATTAATGCTTTTATGGAAAATAACTTTTCCCAAAAAAGTGAGTGTGGCATTGTTTTACATGTTTTCAAATTCCTTTAATGTCTGGTTTAAAAGAAGGGAGCTGGGTTCTTATATTTTCTTCTGCATTTTATCTTGTGATACATTTTGAAAGAAATCAAGTCTCACACAGATATGTAATTGGAACAGAGGAGTATTTGGGAGATGTTTGGGATAATTGTGGATATTGTTTCATACTACACCAAACCTGGCAAATGGAATTTTCTTAAAAGTTCATTGCAGTTGGAATATGAAACCATATCAATAAACTTTCCTATGGTTATAATAAATTCCATTGGTCTGTCTTCCACTTTGAATGGATCTTTTACCCATGTGTGATTTTGTAACATCATGCATTAGTCATTTGGAAAATATTGCTTCAAAATGTTGACACATTTCAACATCTAATATCAAATGATCACCTTAGTTACTATCCTCACCAATTTCACCAGAAAAGTATTAGGAATCTATCAAGCTCACAGTGGCAGATGTAAACTTTCAAAAAATTCAGATTTTCATTTGAAAGCTCAAATGTTATCATTGGCAACAAACACTCTAAGTTGTTTTCTTTGAAGTGACAGACTCATTTACTTTTGAGGACGTAGCTGTCAGATACCCAAGTCTGAACAAACATAACTTGTCTGTTGTTCTTGCAGGTAAAAATGGTGTCCATGGACAAAGTGGTTAGTTTAGCTTGCAACTCACACAAATGCACAACTGCTTTTCCCAGGACAACCAATCTACCTTAGCGTGCAGCAATTCTTTAGATGTCCTATTGATTACCCAGAGGTTAAAACAATGTGTATTCACTTTAATAAAATTAATTTTTACTGCTTTATCAAGGACATTTTTTAATGGAACTGGTATTTTTTTTTCCTATGAGTACACAATGGTAAAGAAGACAATAATGGCTGGGACAGTTTAGTGCTAAGGCCCCAGCAGTTTTACCCACCTTTCCTTTTGCAAAGGTGACATTGAGGATCCCCTGAAAGGGTGCCAGAGCCCCCCAGTTGTCTATGGACCTCACTTTGAGAACTGTTCTGGAAAGCCAAGCAGCTCACCCAGAACACAGAGTGGAACAGGGGGCAGGAAGGTGACCAGGAGTCGGGTGAGGAGAATTTTCCTCTCTCCTCTTGGATCAATGTCCATCCTTCCAATTTTACCCTTCCATAGCCAATTAAGATAAGCAATTTTATTTAAAGCAAAAAGAATTGTCTAATGTTCTACATGTTAAGGAAAAATTCACTCACAAGCGAAATGGATATTCTCAAGGTCCTTCTCCTCCCATCCTTCACTCTGTCCTTTTCCATGTGTCCACTCCGATTCTAATCTTTTTGTAATGTAGTATATTTCACCATATTTTAAAGTTTCATTCTTCTTAACATAGTCGAACAGGTCATGAAGAGATGAGGTACATGTGGCCTGTCTCCCAGCTTGTCCACATGGTGGTGAAGAAGCAAACTTAAATTGCGTTTAGTCCATACCATCTCCTGGTTCTTCCCCATACAGGGGCCCCCAAGGACCTCAGATCTGCAAATGGTGGACACTCATGAGTGGTAATGATTCGGAGTCTGAAGGGGCTGCTCCATTGGGTGTGTGAGGTGCAGGATGTGGGAGCCAGAGCAGGTGGACAAGGAACAGGGGAGACATGGAGGGTAGTAAACTGTTTCATCACCTCTTTGGAAAAATCAGGCAAGTTGGCTATAGTGTACTGTGCTTTGGCCTGACCTTGAATTATTCTCAGCCAGCTGTCATGCACAGCTGCATGACCTTGGCCATGTGACTTCATCACCCTGTGCCTCAGTTTCCCCTCCATAAAGTGGAGTCACTGGGTGGCAGTGGATGGGTGAATCTTTCATTTGTTTAAGATGGCAGGAAGTCAGTGACCTGGGGGGCCTCCATTTAAGTCATGGGCAAAGCGTTCCAGCAGGGGTCCCTGAAGAAAATACGGCTCCTGACAGTCATGTCTCTGTTTTCATACAAAGAAACCCAGGCACAGAGTTCAGCAATAAAGCTGGCCCTTAAATCAATCAAGACTCAGACATAGGTCTTCTGTTTCTCAATGTTGTCCTCTTGCCATGATAACCACGCTGTGTTTTGTTTAAGTCATTATAAATCCTACCCAGGGGCTCCCCCAAGCTTCCAGTTCCTCCTTCTGTTCTGTTTTAAACAGAGTACACAGCCGTTGATTTGAATTTTAAAATTATCCATGAGCCTCCTACCCAAAGGACACACAATTCTCATACACACAGCAGCTGGAGGCAGCTAGTTTAGTTGAGCAGATGCGCAAATCCCATAATCTGGGCCAGATGTTAATCTGTCTTTTCTGTAATCGCTGCATAGAAGGCTGAGGCTCAAAGCAGTGAAGGGGGAAATCCCTTATTGTGTAATTCTTTTGAAACTCCTGGGCAGGGTTTGAACATGTGATTCTACTTGAAATCTGACATTAACGGAAATACCATTTTTGGTCATAGCTGGTGATGACACCTTCACAACTGGAATTGACATTACCCTTGTCCATCTGCTATAAGTAACTGCCCCCTCTTTGCCTCCCAAAGTCAGGTTCAGATGGCAAGATAGCCCAGGATTGCCAAATCTGACCCCCACCAGCAGTTTCCATTTCTATGGCCTCATACTCTGCAAGTAGATAGCCAGGACTCAACACACACATGGAAATGCTGATTCATGGGAGCCCATGGCCCGGGTTGGCTGGAGGATGACATGTCCTGGGGATGCTGGGGACGACAAATGGTACAAAGAACATGAGGTCTCAAGCCAGAGTATTTTGCATTGGCTATGGTCCATTTCTATGTCAAGTCCATGAGAAACATGGTCACCATTTGCTGGTAAACTCCAGCAAATTGGCTACCGAAGAGGTTATTTTTCATCACGGTGCAAATGTGTAATTAATAATTGTGAAATACAGTAGCACTGGCAAGTCTCGATGTCATCCATCAATCTCCTTGAGACTCTGGGAGGTCAGTTTCATTACGTTCATTTTACAGATGTGGGAACTGAGGCTCGGAGAGGTTAAAGCCCTATGTTGAAACTAGAGGGACTTCTTCTGGACTCAGCAGTGGCCCCTGATCCGTCATGCCTGTGGACTCCGGCTTGGGGGTGATGGAGACCTCCGGGGGCTGGAACCCAGAGTGGCCGCTGCAGCTGAGGGACTGGACAACAGCGCTGTCAGTGCTCTTCACCTTCCTACCCCAGGGATGAAGCCAGTCCATCATCTCAAGGACACAACACCCTAGTTACAGTTCTTAGATCTTGAGCAAGCAGACTACTGTTTTCCATCACATTTGCATGAGCCTGGGCTTCTGCTTTCCCAAGCTATGTATGGACCCCATAGCACCCCCCAAGGGAAGCTCCAACAGTTTGGTTAACTTTCACTCATTCATTTTTGTATTCACCCTCCCCCCAACCATTCATTCACAAGCAGCTCTTAAATGTCAACCACTGGGAATGTACAGATTACTGAAAGCCAGACGCTCTCTGCTTTCTAGGAGCCACTTTAGTGAGGGAGCCCAGGAGTAAAGATGCTAAGGGCATGTGAGTTCCATCTAGGACCAAGGCCGGGTTCCCATTGCTTCACCTGCGTCTGTGGCTGGACTCTATTCAATAACCATGCACAATAGCGGGAACATTACAACAAGAGGCGACAAAGAATCAGCCTTGCTGGATGCTGGGATAGGCGTTGGAGGTCCACGAGTTCACTGAAATGTCTCTGCAGTCAGCCCCGCAGTTGGGGTGATCCTCGGAACACAGATGCTCACACACACTCATACTTACATGCATCCTTGCACAAACACACACGTCCACTCACACACAGACACTGCACACACTCTGTCCCACATATGCACACACTCATGTGCACTGTGCACACATACATGCACACTCACACTTCCCCATGCACACACCGCACCCTTTGCTGGCCTCACGCTGACCGTCTCTGCCCCTCCTTCTGTTGGTCACCACGTCTCTTCTCTTCTGGATCGGCTTCCAGGGGAGGCTGTCACACAGTACACAGGCTGGGAGCTCAAGTGACATCAATCTATTGTCTCTCTCTTCTGGGGGCCAGAAGCCCCACAGCAAGGCGTTGGCAAGATTGGTCCCTTCTGCGGACTCTCAGAGAGAGTCTGCTCCAGGCCTCTCTCCCTGGCTTGTAGATGACCCTTTTCCATCTG